AAAATAACCTGCTACTTACTACTTGTACTACTATCCTTACTTTGTGGTTTTTCACGTACCGTGGGGCTTCAGGGTACGGATCCTCCATTATAAACAAGAGGCTACTGTATAGTAAACGTCACTCCAACCGTAATTAAATGATGATTGGTCTCTAATTTGTGCTGGAGAATAACACATTTGCTCTGGTTTCAAAAGTTCAGTGCTGTTTAATAATGTATAATTAATAAAATGTAAATTTACAGACTCTAGCAGGAACATTATCGTCATACCTGCATGATGAATTGCTCACAGGGGGAAGATGCAAGACATATGCATTTTTGTGGAAGTGTTTTCTCCAGGGCCTCTAATTTGTAGTGCTCAGATTTGGTGTTCAAGAACATCTATCAAAGTGTTTTACTCATTGCTGGAGGTCAATTCGAAAAACAGGAAGTTATAAAAAGGATATAATACGTGCAATAAATCTCAGTTACTTCTTTATATTTTAAATGTAGTGTGTGTACTGTGAACAGAACAGAGTTGTATATAAACACATATGCAATTATAAAGATAAAAAAAAACATGTTAACCCTTAATAGCTATTCAAAAACAAAAAAGATTAGATAAATCCTTCTCTATATAAGCAGGTAGTCAAGTCAAGGTCATGGCTAAATCCGTGTTCAATGTCATTGCTGCAAGGAGAGGGAGTCGTGAGAAAGCTCTAACATTAGGGATCATCACCTGACCATCATCCCTGCACTGGAGCGACAGAAATAAATTCACCTCCATGCCGATTTAGATCTCGTCATATATGGAGAGAAACATCCTCACTTTACTCAGACTTAACATTCTGCTTCAAATATCCATGAAGTATACAGCAAGGACATTTGTTGTTCAAGTCTTACGCCTTTTGAAAATGATATATTGTGTTGCATCAATGCTGCATGGCTAAAAAGACAATGTTATTTGAATGACCTGAAGACCTTCGTGTCCCTGAACAGAGAGGGAATGTTATACCAGGATGTTGAGGTGAATAATGCTCCTTTTCTTTGCAGTATACGACATGTCCTTTGATTCCGTCTTTCATTTTGCTGAGCGCAGCAGTTGCAGCAATGGCAGAGAAATATCTATCTGTATTACAGTGCATCCACCCCTGACGGTGTTTTATTGTTCTAGAGGGACTACAGGACTCTCTTTATTGCCCATTTGGAATGTTAGCTACTTAAGTGAGTGAGTCGAAGCTGCTCCGCTCCGACCGTGGACACCCAATGTCCTGGAGACAGTGCTACTCAACTCTAAACAGCCTCTAAACTCCTGTTTCACTGGTGTCAGGCAAAGGAAGACAGCAGACTGAAAGAACATTCTTGTCAAGAAAAAAAGTCTTAAAAATCACGTGCGCTGCAGTTTGGTAGCACTGACGGGAGCGCCACTTCAACTCGCTCTTTTTTTTTTTGTTGTTTTAATTTTTTTGGAGCCTACACTGTACACCCACTATGGGTATGACCACAACAACTCCAAAACTTTTGGAGTTTAGTGTGTCGCTGCCTTGCCATCATGCCATAATGCCATCCTCCCATCATGCCATCATGCCATCATGCCATCATGCCATCATGCCATAATGCCATCATGCCATCCTGCCATCATGCCATCCTGTCATTGTGGTTCAGTTCCCAGTCGCCTTGCCGCCTCGGGCTCAGGCTCCAGCCTGTCATGGCGGCTGTCTCCACGATCTTCCATCTTCCTGCATGGACCGAACTCTCCGGAACGGTTTGGTTCCGTGGGAAAACCTTGGATGTTCATTGTCTGCCAGACCCGGTTCTGGAGGGCAGTCATCGTCCATTGCCACAGTCGTTAACATCACACTGCTAACAAGACCATGCAGCTAACAGAACCGCAGAACCATACTGCTAACAGTATAATGGTGCTAACGGGACCATGCTGCTAAGAGAACCTAACTGCCAACAGAACCACTTGCTAATAGAACCATGCTGCTGTAGATGTATTTCTTTTTCACTTTTGGTGCCTAGTTATTGTATTTTTGT